GGTCGGTCTGGCGGCTGTGTGGTCGCCGTCGCTGCCCTGTCGCCGCCTCTTCGCCGCCCGTCGTCTGGGCCGTGCGGTCGGTCTGGCAGCTATGTGGCCGCAGTCGCCTCCCCATCGCCGCCTCGTCGCCGCCCGTCGCCGCCGTTGAACTGCACCACATAGTTCGCAAGAGCAGACAAATCACACATTCCGCGCGCTTCCAGTTTGCTTGCAAAATCGGTTGCGCCACAAATTTTCCACAACATAGGCTGCAACACATATGTTGCACAGCACAGACTGCACAATCACATGGCTTGTTCCTCCTAGAGTGCACAACACATGTTGCAGAGCATGCATTGCGCACCCGCATCGATTATACTGCATAGATTGCACCTCGTAGATCGCACCACACAGATTTCCCCACATAGCTTACACGACTTGGGTTTCGCGCCTGCAGCGCGCTGAACGGCGTCTAGTGCATTCCATAGGTGCACCACGCACAGCATAGATCGCACCAACTCTACTGCAGAGCATGGGTTGCCAGAACACACACACACACACTGTTTAGGGTCCACGCTGGCCAGTATGTAAATGCAGTTGTTCATTCCTCTCGGCGGGGGCCTCGAAGAGGGGTCCTGAGGGAAGAGCCCGGTCGGCCGAATGGGGGAGGAGGCGGAGGAGGAGGAGGAGGAGGAGGAGGAGGTGGAGGAGGAGGAGGAGGAGGAGGAGAAGCCCAGGCGGAGAAGGGGGAGTGGTGGTGTGTGCGAACCTTGCTGCACACAGCCAGTTTCGGCCTCGCCGCGGGGCGGCGTCCTCGACAGCTTGGCGCCTCCAGCGCCGGGACGCGCCGGGGAAGGGAGCTACCGCAGGGGCGCTGGAGAAGGAGCCCTGTTCGTTGGGGAGGGGCTCGGGGTTCCATGATTTCCGACGAAGGCATCTATACACCACCACCGTGCCAGACCAGGGCCATCCTGGGCCGTAAGATGGTGTATAGACCATCCTGGCTCGGCCAGGAGGGCGTATACACCATCCTAGGGCCTAGGATGGCCCTGGCCTGGCACGGTGGTGGTGTATAGATGCTTTCTGCGTATGATTGTTTCACAGCTTGCCTCAGGTTTTCCTTATGATGTTCTCGATGGGAAGTCGAAATCTAACTTATGGGAAAAAAGAGGCCTCGTTCCTTATGTAGGGTTCCTCAGGTCAACGCCCCGACTGCATACATGGGCTGATTCGCTAACCTCCTCCTCGCTGAAGAACGGGAAACGACGTCATATGCGTAGGCTTTCGGAATTCTGCGCGGATCGCTCGGGTCGGCGCAAGGACCCCGCTGGTGGCGCCTCCGTCGCCGCCCTCGGCGCGCTCCGCGGGGTCCAGCGCCGGTCCCAAGAAGTCCGCGCGGACCTCCGAGCAGGTGGGTTTGTGCCGTCTTGTGTGCCTCCTCAGCCAGCCCACGAAAATGAGGACCGCTTTGGGCTCATGATCGGCTCCTTGCCAATCGGCACCACCCCGCCTGCGACCCCCCTGGGTCGCAGGTGGATCGTGGGTGGGGTGGTATCTCGGGTGGGTCCGAGGTGGTCGTGGTTGGGCAGGTGCCGAAGCTTTCAGCATCTCCGGGTCGTGGGTGGGGTGAAGTCGTTTGGTGTAGCCCCTGGGCACAAGAGAGGGGGCTCTGGTTCGCGGGCGGGTCCTCCGATCCTAGGTCGGAGGGCCTGCTGGTGGCCAGGGCTCCCTGTGGCCGGAAGAGCCTCTCTTCGTTTCTTGCCGTAGATGTACGAACGGTGTGTTAGTTGAACGGCGAAGCAGGGGAACCAATTGCAGGAAGGCGTGGTTCGTGGCCAAACCAATTGGAGGAACGCGTGGCTCGTGCTTTCCTGCAGCTCGCTGCGTCGTTCTCGCTCGATACATTCGCACATCTGACATGTAGGAAAAGGTGGTTCGTGATTTCCTAGAATTTGTTCTGCGCGATCTCGGCGTCACAAAAATCATATTCCCAACATCGTCGTTAAGCAACATCGCCGTTAGCGCGGCCTTGGTCTTGTTCCGCTTCTCTTTGTTTAGCACGATGGTTGTAGCCCCTGAGGTTTCTACTCCTGCTGGCCCCCCCACACCCCCCAAAGCTCCCGGTTGGCAACCAGCTCTGCGGTCAGAAACGCCTCTTCGTTCCTTGTGCCGCGCTCCTTGGCTTAGCACGGTGGCTGTATCCCCCGGTGGTTTCTAGTCTTGCTGGCCCCCACCCCAGAGCTCCCAGCTGGCAACTAGCTCTGTCCCTACCCTCCTTGTTCTCTCCTGTCTCCTCGCTCCAAGCAAATACACGATTTATCAATTGAGTGACGCAAGCAAAAAGGGGTCGCCTGCGCCGAGACATTGGCGCGCAAGCTGCCCGCGTAAGGTCGAGCTTGAGCGCCCTCGCTTCAAATGAGGCGTGCCGCGCGGGCGCCCCGCCTAAGCTACCGCGTAAGGTCGCTGCGTCATCTCGCGCAAGACCCGTTTTTGATCGTCGCCCGATGATTGGGGGGCTCACTCAAGACCTGCTGAGACTACTGAGGGAAAGGGGTCGCCCAGACCCCAGCGGCGCTTTCCAGGGCCAGCTCCTCATCGGGTGGTCTCCCAGCGGCCTCGGGGCCCTCCCCGAGCCCCGGGGGGCCGAAGCCAGGAAACAGTTCCAGAGCCCGTTCCTCTCTGGACCTCAGCTGCCTCGTTATGCTCGCTTGGAATCGCAGCACGTGCCGTGCTCAAAACGTCCCTGTCAACACGAGGCGTGTTGGCTCAGCGTTTTGGCCCACGTTTTGGCGAACGTCTTGCGCCAGACCTGCGTGTTCAATCTGCGTGCTGAGCTCCGCTACTTCTTGCGTGTTGCGTATCGGGGCAGCCAAGCTCAGGACTCGTTCCTTGTTGGGTCGTCGAGGAGGGTTGGGTGGTTCGGTAGCGAAGCGTGAGGGCCTGGTATGCCCTCGTAAATCCGTCTTCAGCGTCGGATAATGTCGACTAGCTTCGGTTAGCGTTTGGGAGTCGATGAGATAGCGCCGATTTAGCGTCGACTAGCGTCGATTTAGCGTCGATTCGCAACGATTCGCAAGAGCCGACAAGATGGTACGGGATGCCCCATGAGTTGCGAAGGCAGGGTGGGCAGATATGTCGCGGGAACCGGGTCACCACTGGGACCCACCGCGTGCTAAGGCGCAGCGGCAGTCCCCGGCACCCCTCGGGTCCTTCGGTAGCAAATGATGGGAGCCTAGCACACTCTCCTAATTCCGTCTATAGTGTCGACTAGCGTCGATTAGCGTCAGGGAGTCGATGAGACAGCGCTGGTGTAGCGTCTGTTAGCGTCGATTAGCGTCGATTCAGCGTCGATTGGCGACAACTCAGCGTGGATTAGCGTCGATTCGCAAGAGCCGACAAGATTGCATGTGAGGCTCCCATGAGTTGCCACCGACGCCGTGTCGGGTGAACCCACCATTCGGACCCACCGCGGGCTGAGGCGCAGCAGCAGTCCCCCGCACCCATCGGGTCCTCCCCTCGCGGTGCCTCAGCGGCGCGGCTGCGCTCCACGGGGTACCCTCCCCGGGCGAGGCAGTCGCCTCTTGCTCGCGAGGGCGCGCCCCAGCGACGTTGGCGGCCGAGGTCCTGGCAGTCGCTGGGTCCACCTCCGCCACCCACGCACGCCCGCCGCCAATCGCGAGTGCGCAGCGCCCCGCAGTTGAGGCATATGAGTGCCACTACCCTTGCCGCTACTCGAGGCTCTCGTCGTGACCGCTGGATTCGCTTCGAACTCCTTGTCAGAACGCACCCGGGGAGAGGTCCGGGGAGTAGCGGTATTGGTACTTCTTTGGTTTCCCAATGTGACTGAGAATTTCTAGAATCAATTTGTTCATCTTCAACATTCAATCAATCAGTGATCATATTACTGAGTAATACGATTCTTCATTTTTTCATTGTGTTTTGTTCGTTTATCTATATATAGTCGTTTCTTATGCTTTCAGTAGAACAAAATCTAAGGGGGCGCGGAGTGGGTCACGTGCCCAGGGACAGGGTAAGACTCTTCGGACCCCTCACTCCGATCATGTCTGGGACCGTGGAGTCTTCCCGAGCGCATGGCCCTCTCATCCACCTGTCAGCGCGCTCCATGGCACCCCCTTCTCATACATATTCAGAGGAGGAAAAGGTACCCATACCCCTACCCTCCGCCCGTTTTCCCCTTTTTGGGTCGCCTCGGAGGCCATCGTCGCCACCGCTGGATTCGCTTCGAAATTCTGGTCAGAACGCACCCCGGGAGATGTCCGGGGAGTAGAGGTATCAGTACCTTTTGGTCTCCCCACATGCTGTGAGTCTTGAGGTTGGGCCCCCCTGTTCGGCGCACAGGGAAACAGCGTCATCTTGTTTTGCCGAAGCTCCGCGCGAATTTCTTATCCGTAAGGGCTTCGCCCCATGCCGCCGGCCCCCTGTCTCGGATCATGGGAGATGCAAGAGCTAAATCACGAGGGTTGGGCGCCGCCGCGAAGCAGTGTCTGGACCTGCTCGTTTTTCGACCCTGACCCTACGGATCTGCGTCACGGGTGCCACCGAATTTTAGAAATGTCGCAAATCCCCTGTGTTTTTGCACCCTGACCCTACGGATCTGCGTGAGGGGTACCGCCGAATTTTACAAATGTATCAAATCCACTGTATTTTTGAATCCTGACCCTGCCGATCTGAGTGAGGGGTGTCACCGGAGTTTCGAAATGCGTGAGGGGTGCTACCGAATTTCAGAAATGTGTCAAATCCCTTGTGTTTTTGCACCCTGACACCGCCGATCTGTGTAAGGGGTGCCGCCGAATTTCAGAAATGTGGCAAATCCTTTTTGTTTTTGGACCCTGACCCCGCCGATCTGCGTGAGGGGTGCCAGCAAATTTCACACATGTGGCAAATCCTATGTGTTTTTGGACCCTGACCTCTCCGATCTGCGTGAGGGGTGCCAGCGAATTTACACATGTGGCAAATCCCTTGTGTTTTTTGACCCTGACCCCGCCGATCTGCGTAAGGGGTGCTAGCTAATTTCAGAAATGTGGCAAATCCCATGTGTTTTGGGACCGTGACCCCGCCGATCTGCGTGATGGGTGTAATGCTTTACCCACCCCGGCAATTCAGAGCAGACGATTTGGGCGTGGTAGAAATGTCCGTTTTGGGCCTCCTCCCCTCGCGCGGTCCATCAACAAGGAACAGTCAGCAGCAAGAAGCAGACAGTAAGCAGCAAGAAGCAGAACTGTAACAGTGGAAACTGGAAGCTGCAAGTGGTACAGGAAACTGCGAAGCTTCGTCCTACAGCCTGGTGGCCCCACAAGGGGGCTGGCGGATTTGCATTTGCCCGACTCCTGCGAGTCCATCCGACGCTTGGGCATTGGACACTCCCCGTTGGGGTTCGCTTGCCTGCAGACACCCTTCCGGTTCTGAGCCCCTACCGTTATTTTGGGGGTGGGGGGTCCTGGAATCTGATTTGCAGGGGGTGGGTTACCATGTGGCTTCCTATTTCCATGGTCGTCCTCCTCGTCTTCCTCCTGCTCCTCCTCCTCCTCCTGATCCTCTTCCTCCCTCCTCTGCCTCCTCCTCCTCATCCTCGTCCTCCTCCTTCTCCTCCCTTCCTCCCCCTCGTCCTCCTCCCCCTCCTCCTCCTCCGCCTCCTCCTTCTCCTCCTCATCCTCCTCCTCCTTCTCCTCCTCCTCCTCCTCCTCCTCCTCCTCCTCCCCCTCCTCCTCCTCCCCTTGGCGCGCGTCGCGCGCAGGGGGGCATGGGGGCTCCGGCGCCGACCCAACGAAAGCCCGCGGACCTCCAACAGTTTACGTTTATGCCGCCGCTCGTTCCTCTTCCAGGCAAGCGCCTCATCCTCCTCCTCCTCCTCCTCCTTCTCCTCCTCCTCCTGCTCCCCTTGGCGCGCGTCGCGCGGAAGGGGGGATGGGGGCTCCGGCGCCGATCCAACGGAACCTCGCGGACCTCCGACAGTTTACGTTTATGCCGCCGCTCGTGCCTCTTCCAGGCAAGCGACCTGGGCCGCAGGGACATCCGGGCGAAGGAGCAGATAGACACGCTGTCGAGCGCCACCCAGGCCACCTTCTCGTCCATGAGCCTGGAGAATCAGAGGAACATCGCCGCCAACCGCAGGCTTATCGCGGAGCTCCAGGCCTCCGTGGAGGAGGCCGCCAGCTGCGCCACGCGGAGGGTCGAGTGGCTCCTCCGCGACGCCTCGGGGCAGCTCGCTGCAGACCCTGGCCGGGAGGGTGACAGGCCCCCGGGAGGGCCGCCCGTACCATGATGGGGTCCAGACGGGGTCGGTGATGAACCCTCAGATCCGGGCGACGCAAAAGGATGGCGCCGCCCGTGCCATGATTCGGGGGCGGCAAAGAGGGGGGTGATGACTAGGGGTGTGTGGATATCATGGCGTGGACCATGATATTTCTCCAGATTTCATAGCGCCTCTTCTTATTTCATTACGTCCCTGGCCCCCCCGCTGGGCCGCGCACATGCCGCCGGTCATGATTTGCACCCCCCCCTTTCGGACAGCCCCCTCTTGGCCGCTCCCGAATGGTGGGGCTCAGACGGGGTCTGTGGAGCCTCAGATCTCGGAGGGCCAAGCCGACCTGCTTCTGGGAGGCCAACATCTGGGGCCGATATCAGCTACCGTTCTCACGTCCCAGCCAGAAGCGTCTATGGACGCATTAGGTGCCGTGACGTCCATGGACATCTTCGGGGTGGATGTGTTTATGGACAGTGTGGCCGTTGCGTACGGCGCGGTGCAAGGTCGGAGAAAGGGTAGGTCCGTCCACGGTATGTTCCTGTTCTAGAGCAGGTCCCACCTGGTACTCCAACTCAGATCCAGGCGACGCAGAAGGATAGCGACGGCAGGTCTTTGGGTACCTTTTGTGGCGGTCGCAGGTTTCCGGGTGCCCTCGGACGGAGGAGGCCGTCTTTTTGCCCCGTAGGGGCCGGCAGAGCACGGCTCCCGAGAAGTAGCTGAGGAGCCCCCCCGGGCCCACGCCTCGAAAGGCTTGCACCGTCGGAGGCGAGGGGATCTCGCCGCATCGCAGATGCATACAGTCAACCCGCATAATTAGTAAGGATGGGCAGCCTTCCCAAGGGCAGCCCTTGCATCCTTGCCCCTTCGGCCCATCCTTAGCGACTCTCGCTGGCCAGCCCAGTTCGACAAACGCGAACGGGGCCCTCCAAGGCCCTTGCATCCTTACCGCGCAGCCTCATTATATGGGTTGACTGCAGGTGGCTAAAGCGGCTCGATGTGGAGCCTGACGTTCTCCACGGCGCCGTCGGCGATGCGTCGGCGATGCGGCGGCGCGATGGTACCATCGCTCGGAGGCGCAGTTCTTACTGCCGCGAGCTTCCGCCCGTCTTCCACCGGCGGAGCCGCCGCTTCGTTTCTGATAGCCAATGTCCCACCACTATCAAGGTAGGACGGGCGAGAAAGGAGGACGGGGAGGTATTCCTCCCGCCTCCTCCTCCTCCTCCTCCTCCTCCTCCTCCTCCTCCTCTTCACTTTCCTACCTCCACCTCCTCCTGCTCCTTCTCCTTCTCCTCCTCCGCCTCTTCCTCCGCCTCCGCCTCCGCCTCCTCCTCCTCCTCCTCCTCCTCCTCACTTTCCTACCTACGTTAGTGGTGGTGGAACATCGGCCCGTCCGTCTTGTTTCCGCCGCCTTCCGCTGGCTCTCCGCCGCCTGCCGGCGAGGAGGACCATGGCACGCCTTGGGCCCCATCGAAGTCGCGGCCCTCGGCTGGAGCGCCCCACGCCTCTCGGACCCCGCTTGATCGACGGAAGAGGCCGTCGGCCGCGCGCAGAGGTGGGTTGGGGTCCCGCCGCCTGCCGACGAGGAAGAGGAAAGGGCACTCCCTGGGCTCCGTCGAACGTGCGGCCCTCTGCAGGAGCGCCCCATTCTTTCGGACCCCACTCGAGCGACGGAAAAGACTGCTGGCCGCGCGCACAGGGGGGTAGCCTAGGCCTCCCAGATGAGGCCGAGCAGATGGCGTCGGAGGATCGCGCCGCATCGCCGATGCATCGGCGATGCGGCTCGATGTGGAGCCCGATTTCCTCCACGCCGGCGTCGCGGATGCATCACCCACGTCGGCGATGCATCGCAGTGCATCGCCGATGCATCGCCGATGCATCGGCGATGCCTCGGCGATGCGGCGCAATCCTCCGACCCCATCTACTCCGAGCCCATCTAGAAGGCTTCCAGGTAGGGGGAGCGGGGCGGGGGGAAGGCTTCTTAGAATCACCCCTGCCTCTCAGAAGGCGCGGGCCTTCCCTATAGATGCAAGGCCTGCGCCTTCTAAGGGGCAGCCTTCTCACAAGCAGGCGTCCCCCCTCCCTCTGACCCCTTGCGCTCGCCGCCGAGAGGGGGCCGACTGCGCCCGCACTCGCGCGCAGGCTTCTCGCGTGACGCAGCGCGTGAGCGCCCTGGTTGCCAGTGTGGCGTGCCGTGTTCGGTGCTCGCGGAGGGCGCGGGCCGCGGCGTGAGGTCGTTGTGCCCGAGAGCCGCCTCGAGGGCGCGAGGCGGTTCGCGGTTTGCGGCTCGCGATTCGCGATTCCTCATCCTCCATTCTCTTCGTCCTCCTCGTCGCCCCCTGGGAGGGGGCGGTGCGATAGCGCGAAGTCATTCGCGGTGCGCGCAGCGCGAAGCGCGAACATGGCTGCCCTCCGTACGGTGAGGTCATTGGACAAGGAACCCTTGGATAAGGAACCCAGGGTCTGAGAGCTGGTGGACCACCGGTTGTTGGCCATGAATCCTTCCGTCGCCCTCACCAGATAGGACTCTTCCAGGGTCTGAGGCTTTCTGGGCACATTTCTTAACGAACGCCCACACCGTATGCTTTCTCTTGCACAGTCGAAAATCATAGCGGGATGAACTGTTTCATCAAAGCTACCATTGTATCCCTTCTTCTCCGACCCATGTCCACGGAGCTCTGAATGGCAAACGGGGCCTCCAAGGGTCTCGCATCGTTACTTCGCATCCTTCCTCCGGATTTTGCTTGTATGACTCATCAAAGCTGAGGAATGTGCCGTTTTCAGCTTGGCACGGGTGGCCCTCCTGGAATCTCAACCTGGAAGATGCTTTGCTCAGCTAAGTGTTTTGGGTCAACGTGCCAGGGAAGATAATAATAATGCACAACTTGTCGTAACGGCGTTCCGCGGCCACAAGTTGAGTGTCGCCACCGAGACGACGATGACGATGTTGACGATGATGACGATGCCGCCCCTTGCGCCGCCCTCGCCACCGTGACGATGTTGTCGTCGTCGTCGCCGCCGTCGTCGTCGCCGTCGTCGTCGCCGTCGTCGTCTTCGTCGTCGTCGTTTCTGGCAAGACTTGTACATTTATACGCTGTGTCTTGAAGCTCGGGGTTCCTACCAGCAGATCTCAGAGGCGCAGGAGGTGTGGAGAAACACATCTGGCCCCCCGAGGATCGGTTTCTGGCTGCATCCAGTGCGCCTCGGCCTCCTGGCGCCTCTGCCGAGGAAGTCCGAGGCGCACCGGATGTGGAGATACAAGATACATCTTGCCCGCAGTCATCCTCGTCGTCGTCGTCGTCGTCGTCGTCGTCGTCATGTCCCATGTCAGTCGGGCTCCCTGTTGTTGGGATGCAACTCCTGGGAGGTCTAATTCTGATTTTGCACTGGTCCGAAGTCCGGCTTCATCCCGCTTAATCCGGCTTGATCCCGCTCAATCCCGCTTAATCTGGCCTGATCCCGCTTAATCCGAGGCGCTTTCCGGCGTAATGGCTCCCAAACGGGGCTCAATCTTCCTCAATCTTCCCGACGAAAATCAGGAGGGGAAAGAAAACACAGACACAATTAATCGTCGACTCCCAGGAAAAGATTAGAAAATATGGGCAGTGGGGGGAAGCCGAAAATCTAGAAGATATGGGAAAATATGGGGAAGCCTGTTACTTGTGTGCATTGATTTGTGTGTCCCAGGGCCACTTCAGAAAACCTCCCAGTACACGCCGGTCGTTGAAACTAGGTATTTCTGGATTCCCAGATCCCAACCCACCTCAATGATTCAAGCGCCTTCCTACTTCAAGAATCGACATGCTCTTGTTGTATCTTGCTACTCTCTGGGAGGACCTGGACCCAATCCACTACATCCGCCTTCCTACTTCATGGTCCTACCTTCAGTGCCGTTTTTAATACATGCTCCGCGTGCGGACCATGCATTAAAAATGCAGGGAGTTAGTATTAAAAACAACGATGGGTTCATGCATAAATGCACTCATAAATCAATCATGTACAAAAATGCAATATAAAACAAACATCCTATGCATTAAAAACTGCCCTGTGCTCATTCCGACCGACGTGTAGTTGCCTCCGAACCGTCGCTCGGAGAGACCCCCGCGGGCGAGCCTCCGCAGGCCGGCGAGCTGGAGGTCGCCGCCGTTCGAGGCGGCCTGCGCCCGCGGGCTGTGGCTGGAGCTGCGCGTGCACCAGCCAGCCGCCGAGGGCGAGCCGGGGGGCGACTGCGAGGTGCTCCCTTCGGGACGGACGAAAGGGGGGGTGGGGAAAGGGGGGGTTACGAAATTTGCTGCGTGCAGCTGATTTCGGCCTCACCGAGGGGCCCATTCCTCGATACATGGGCGCCTCTGGCGCCGGGAGGCGCTGGGAAAGTCAGCTACGTGAGCTGATTCTCAAACCTAATCCGGCTTAATCCCGCTTAATCCGACTTAATCCTGCTTAGTCCGAGGCCCATTCCGGCGTAACAGCTCCCAAATGGGGCTTAATCCTTTTTAATTCTGTCCGACGAAAACCTTCCAGCAGTTGCCTCCTAACTCAGAGTCCCACCAAACAATGTCCTAAGAACTTTTTGAGGCTCCAACGAAATTTCTCAGAACATTTCTGGTTGGGACTGTCTTGTTTTATCACACTGGGTTCATGCTCTAAGAACATTGTTTTTGTTCTTAGAACAGTTTCGGGTTCTAGGAATATTTCGTGGTAGGCCTATTGCAATGCCGGGACGGTCGGTCCCTGCTCAATTGTGGGGATGGCGACGACGGTGACAATGGCGATGAGTGACGACGTCGTCGATGGTGGCGATGATGATCAAGGGAGGAAACACCACCCAGACCCGACAGTTTGCGTTTATTGAACGGCCCTGGGCGTTTACCAAACAGCCCTGCCCTGCTTGATTCCTGCTTTGGGTGTGTTTGCTAAACGGCCTCGCATGTCGGGGTGGTTATTATCGGGGTGGATGTTCTGCCCTCTAGATGAGGGTGACGGTGATGGCGATGAGGATAAGGACGATGGCGTCGGCAATGACGACGACGATAACGATGATGATGCTGATGATGCCGAATCTGATGGTGATGCTGATTATGAAGAAGATGACGATGATGATAGTGATCGGCGATCGCCGAAGGCAGTTGACGGTTGACGATGGCGACGGCGATGGCGAGTGCGAGTTGTTAAAGGGGTTGCCGATGGTGATGATATTTATGATGATGTTGGTGGCGATGATAAGTATTATGATGATGAAGTTGATGATGATGATGATGATGATGATGATGTTGATGGTTATGATTGTGATGACATTAAATGACGGTGATGGTTGCTGATGACGATTATAATGATGATGACTTTAGCGATGTCGATTGATATAGCGATTATGACAGTCATCTCGATGGTGATTGTGATGGCGATGGCGACGATGAGAGGCAATGATGATGGTGGTTGATGCATGGCGATGGCAAGTATGACGCTGATGACGATGACGATGGCGATGTCAATCGCAAGGTGCATCTGATGTTGACAATGGTGATGACGATGGTGATGATGGTAACGATGACGATGAGCTGACGACGACGATGAGGACAATGATGATGGCGTTTGGGGACGAAGCTGCTGCTGCTGCTGCTGCTGCTGATGATGACGACGATGATGATGATGATGATGATGATGATGGTGATGATGATGACGATGGTGATGACGATGGCGATGGTGATGGTGGTGGCATGGGATTCTGGTGCTGACGCGATGACGATGCCGACTATGATGCTGATGATGACGACGATGTCGTTGACGCTGGCGATGACGATGATAATGACGATGGTGATGGTCATGGTGATGATGATACTCAACGGGTGTTTATGACAGGCGACGGTTATTCGTTACAATGACGATGGTGATGGCGATGGCGATGGCGACGGAGAGGTGCCCCTAGGGCTGATGTTGATGACGACGATGATGACGACGATGGTGATGACGATGATGATAGTGACGATGATGACGGTGTCGATGACGGGTGGCAGTTGACGATGACAGTGACGGATCCACTTTTGATAGCCCTAACGATTGCGAGGTGCCTCGGCGGCAGACGATGTGGATAATGATCATGATCGTGATGATGAGGACAATAATGAGGAGGGTAGCGATTATGACGATGATGACGATTACGATGCTGGGTCTGACGGTGATGATACTGTTGAAGATGATGCTGACGGTGACGGTGCTGATGACGATGATGATGGTGATGGTGATTGTAATGATGATGCTGATGATGATGATTGTTAACGGTTGACGATTGCAGTTGATGAATATGACGATGATGATGGTTGGGGCAATTGCGATTGTGAGGTGACTCTTTGGCCTGTCGGTGATGTTGTCGATGATGTTGGCGCTGATGCTGATGATGATGGCGATGGTGACGATGATTGTGATGGTGGCTGGTGGTGGCGATGGAGGTTGACGATTGGCGAAGACAGAGATAAAGATAATGACGATGACGATGACAGTAGCGAGGATAATGCCGAGGCGTATGTGAGGTTGACGATGGTGTCGATGACAAGTGTCCTGATGGTGGCGATGACCACGGCGATGGCGACCGCGAGGGATGCATCTGGAGCTGACGATGGTGATGATGAACATGCTGCTGATGAGTCCCAGATGAAGATGATGATGATACTGATGTTGATTATGATGTTGATTATGATGATGATGATGTGATGATGGTGATGATGGTGATAATGCTGAAATTGATGATGAGCATAATTTTGATGACGATCACGATGGGGATGATGATGATGATGATGATGATGATGATGGCGATGACGGTGATGGTGATGATTGGCGATGACGATGATGGTTGATGATTGGCGATGGCAAGGATGATGATGCTGGTGACGATGACGAGGACGATTACGATTGCGAGGTGCCGTTGGGGGCTTACGATGATGGTAGTGATGCTGGTGGCGATGATGATGACGGTGGTGATGGTGACTATGCTGATGATTTCGCGGATCATGATGACGACGACGATGACGATTACGATGGTGTTGTTGATGGTGGTCGTGATGATGATGGTGGTGGTGACGTTTGTTCGATGTGAGGATTGCCCGATGACGCACTTGATGATGTTGACGATGACGATGACGATGGCGATGGCGATTGAAATGTGCCCCTGCGGTTCACGATGGTGATAATGATGGTGATGATGATGATGATGGATGGCGATAGTGACGGTGGTGATGATGGAGATGGTGATGACTGACGATGGTGATTCACGATTGACGAGCGGCAGATGACGATGATGACGATGGCGATGGCGATAACGAATGCGGGGTGTCTCTGGGGCTGGCGATGACGATGATGATAATGGTGACCGTGCTGATCACGATGATGGTAATACTGATGATGCTGATGATGATGCTGATGATGATGGTGATTGGAGGTGACGATGGCGTCGATTACGATGATCGGGTGGATGGCAACGGGTGAGCAATACAAGAAGGAAGGGATCGAGTATTGCAGGGAAGTGGCGTCAAAGAGGCTCCAAGCGGCCCCGAACTTGCCACCTCGGATCCAAGCACAGTGCATGCTTTTTTGCCCCCCGTTTGTTGCCCCACCCCGTTCTCGAACACCCGAAATGAGAACGATTGCGATCGGACTGCGAGGTGTGCATCTGGGGGTCGATGATGACGATGGCGATAGCGATAGAGATGGTAGCTGGGCGGTGTATCTGAGGTTGACGATGCTACTGCTGCTACTGGTGCTGATGCTGATGACGGTGATGTTGGTGATACTGGTGCTGATGGTGATCGTGGTGATTATGATGATGATGATGATGATGATGATGATGGTGGTGGTGGTGGTGATGATGACGATGCTGATGGTGATGGTGATGGTAATGGTGATGGTAATGATGATGGTGATGATGGCGGCCATGACGACTGCGATAGCGATTGCAAAGTGTTTAGCGTTTGGGAAGCGGGCCCTCAGGGAAACGGGTCCTAGGCCCCGGGCCTTCCCCCAGCACGAGATCTTCATCCTGAGTTGCTTTTTGACCATTCCGGAGCCCGTGGAGAGCCCCGAGAGCCCGAAAATGCCGACAAACATCATGACCCATTTCCTTCAAGACCCGTCTCCCCAATGCATTGTGAAGATGTTTCTATAGTCTTCAGAGAATTTGTCGATGCCCCCCCCGAATACAAAGGAAGCCTCTCAGAAGGCGCGAGGGCCTCTGAGAAGTCCCGCCGCCTTCTGAGAGGGCCTGCTCTTTCGCTCCCTCCCCTCGCTCGCCGCCGAATTACGACGGCGATGGCGACTGCGAGGTTCTAGGCCTTCTAGATGGGATCCGAGTAGATGGGGCTGGAGGATCACGCAGTATCGTCGATGCATCGGCAATGCGGTTCGATGTGGAGCCCGATTTCCTCCACGCGGGCGTCGCCGATACATCGACGAAGTCGCCGAGAAGTCGCTGGTGTATCGGTGAGACGGCGCGATCCTCCGACCCCACCTACAGTCGACCCGCATCGTAAGTATGGGCAAGCTTCCCAAGGATACCCTTGCATCCTTGCCTCCATGGCCCATCCTTGACCACCGTCGTTGGCCGCACCCCGCTCGGCTCGGAAAGCTCCGAAAGGCCTTCCGAGGCCCTTGCAGCCTTCTCGCGCAGCCTGATGGTATGGGCCGACTGTACTTCGACCTCTCTCTGGGAGACCACTGGAGGCCTCCTTGGTGTGCATCTAGACGTCTCTAGAGGTGTGCATCCTCCGACCCCTATCTCTAGGAAGCCGGGCAAGGGCTGCTAAATCCGTGGCTGCTAAAATCGACCTCCGGGAAGTTGTCTTCGTCCTTCCGGGAAGAAGCCCGTCGACTGTTTCGCGTGCCGCGCCTCATTCCGGGAAGTTGTTTTTTCCTTCCCGGAGGGCTGTTTTAGCAGCCACGGTTTTGGCAGCCCTCGCCCAGCGTTCGAATCTCGGAGGCCTCCAGAGGTGTGCATCTGGGGGCCGCGGGGCCTCAGCCTCGTCTGCCGCCTCCACGTTGGCGGGGCCGCGGTGCAGCGCAGCCACACCTTCGACGGGGAGGGCGCCTGCGCGAGCGGCCGCCTGGGGGTCCTCGCCGACCTCGCCGCCGCGGACGGCTCCGTGCGCCTGGGCGTAGAGATCTTGGAGGCCACTCGCGAGGCGGGAGGAGGAGGAGGAGGAGGAGGAGGAGAAGGAGGGGGGAGGAGGAGGAGGGGGGAGGAGGAGGAGGAGGGGGGAGGAGGAGGAGGAGGAGGGGGAGGAGGAGGAGGAGGAGGAGGAGGAGGAGGAGGAGGAGGAGGAGGAGGAGGAGGAGGAGGAGGAAGAGTGGCCGTGTTTGGGCTCCGGGAGCCTCGAAAACGGATCCAGGGGGAACAATTACGAAAATAGGCACGAACATTTTACAGCCTCTACGTGTATAGAAACTCGAAAACTGCTTGGTGCGACATGACAACCCCGAGTCGAAGTTCTAGCTGTTGGGCGTCTTCTAGGCCAGGGTGCACCAGATACACCCTGGGGAGGGGCCCAAGGAATGAGTTCAAACGGATTTGCCCTCATCCCCCCTCCCTGCTGGTCCAATCGACGCTGGGGTATCCGCGGTGGCCTGCTGCCGCGTGGGAACCCTTCCCCCTGCGGGTCTAATCTTGTGTCGGTCTTGCCTCCTACAGAGCGGAAACCTGAACACCTTTGTTTTTTTCCCCGCCAGCCTTCCGCAGGAGGCATCCGCAGGTTTTCCAAAAGTACCCGCAGAGACCCCGCAGAGACCCCGCAAGGCATCCGCAGAGGGTTTTTGGGAAAACTTTTTTTTTTTTTTCCCCAAAACCCCTTCTTTTTTTCATCTGCATTTTTTCCCTCTCCGCTTTGCTTTTTCATTTTTTGCGACTACGTGTGTGGACGCACGCGATTGCGAAGCGTGCGCATGTCCGCGCATTGCGTGCGATATTGCACCAGCGTGCGCGGCGCGGGCACCAGAGCCCCGCTACCAACGCGACGGGCACCAGCCCACCGCTACCGCTACCAGCTCCGCTACCAGCGCGACGGGCACCGCTATCTCCAACAATGCAACAAGTTTTGCGAGGACAACAGAGCTCCGCTACCAGCACGACGGGCAACTACACCCGAGCCATTCGCGCAATACGGCGCGTTTCTGCATCAAGCCAAAATGGCAACCTCCTCCTCTCCTCCTCTCCTCTCCTCCTCTCCTCCTCTCGTGCTCTCCTCCTCCTCTCCTCTCCTGTCTCCTCCTCTCCTCTCCTCCTCCTTCTCCTCCTCCTCTCCTCCTCTCTCCTCTTCTCCTCCTCTCCTCCTCTCCTCCTCTCTCCTCCTCTCCAAAAATACACTCCTCCTCTCGTCTCTTCTCCTCCTCCTTCTCCTCCTCCACCTCCTCCCCTTCTCCTCCTCCTCCTCCTCTCCTCCTCCTCCTCTCCTCCCCTCTCCTCCTGCTCCCCTGTCCACGTCCTTCCCCTCCTCCTCTTCACCCTCCTCATCCTCCTTGCTCGCCTCCCCCTCGTCCTAACCATCCTCACACCCCTCGCTGCAAGCCTAGTAGCCCCCTTCCCCACCCTCCTCATCAAACCCTCCTCGCATTGATTCATCCTCCCCTCATTCTGTCGTCTTCCCATCATATATCCCTCCTCATTCCCACGTTGCCTCCTCCTCCTCCTCCTCCTCCTCCTACCTCCTGCCTCATGCCTCCCCTCCCCAACTCTCTCCTTCTCGTCCTCCTCACCTCGCGCCTCATCCCCCTGCTCGGCCCGCGGTCCAGCGGGCGGTCCTGGCACGAGGCCGAACACGTCGCCCAGCGGGCCCGAGGGCCCCACCCGACCGCGCGACGACGACGACGACCCCCCCCCCGACGACGAGGAGCATGATGATAAGGGAGATGAGGCCAGCGCCGAGGATACTGGAGAGAGTGGGGGAGGGCACTTAAGAGGACTACGCTGAGCCTGAGAATGAGGGAGACGAATAACAGGATGAGGACGATGATGATAAATACGATGAGGGTGATGTTAGTGCGGGCAATGGTGATGACGAATGTGATGAGGATGAGCATGAGAACGAGGAGGCTAAGACACGTGATGATGGTGCTATGTTTGATTTCTTGGGCGTTACTTGTTATCCTGTGCCCACCGTGATTGACAATATATGATTGTATGGTGTTCTCTTCCCTTTCTAACTCCCCCATCCGACTGAGCACCGTTCACGGTGCGTTCTTACTACTGCAGCTTGGAGGCCTTCGCGGCGCGGTCGATCAGGGCCTGCGGCATCGTCGTCCACGATGCACCCGTCTTGGTGCTGATCGTTTTCAGGGCGTGGGTTTTTTTTTGTATTCCTCTTTCGTGTACTTCGTCGCGAAGAGGGTGCACAGCAGGCCTTCGACGTTAGACTGCGCGAGGCTCTTGGTGATATCCGTCGCTTTCTTCTTGATGTCTGGGTTCACCATCCTCGTGAAGCAGCTGGCGGTCTCCTCGTATGCCTTCTGAAGAGTTTTGATGGCGTCGATCTCCTCTTTGTAGCTGTCCGACTTCCTGCTGCACACGGTGGTCGCCCCCTTACTGAGCACCTCGTCGAGGTCAGTAGCGTCGCTCACGGACTCCCACCACGATTCTCCATCAGCACCGCCCTTGGCCCACTTCTGAGCGAGATCCAACCGACTGCCGAGCTGCGTCTCTGTCGTCGTCATGGCCTTGTCGGCGCTGGCGGTCACGTAGTCGTTGACCTCGTTCACCGCGGCCGCGATGCGCGGATCGATGTTGGCCTGGCCAATGGTGTCCGCGGCATTCTGGAGCTCCAGCTTCTTCAAGAGGAGGGTCTTCATGGCCTGCATCTTCTTCGGGTCCGTATCGTCGGCGCCGGTGGACTCGCCTTCGCCAGAGAGCGCGGCGTGCGCAGCCTGGCTGGACTTCGCCTCGCAGGCCGCGTAAAAAGCTTTGAAGGTGTTCTTCATCCCGCCGTCCGTGAACTCAGCGATGCCGACCATGAGATCTGCAATCGCTGCCGTGCCCGTGGCATCGTCGGCCTTGATGTTGTTCCATACGTCCTCGCAGAAGGTCTGGATATCACCCTTGGCAACGTCGTCGAGCGAGGTCTCATTGACGGCTTCCAACTCCCCACTGATGATTCTCACTTTCTCGATGTCGACCATCCCCGTGTCGTCCTTGGCGCCGCCTGCCAAGTGATGCTTGATGTCATCGATGAGCTGTTTCGCGCCGATCTGATCGATCACGGCCTGGGTGTCGTGCGTCGCCCTCTCGCCGAACTCCTCGTTCATGGCCTTGAGCTTGACGCCTTCCTTGAACATGATCTCCGCAGCCACCAGCGCGTCCTTGCTGCAGTCAGCCCCCCCCTTGACCACGCCGCCCTTGTCGAACATCACATCGTAGATCGTCCCGAGTAGCCCGCTGCAAGCGACCTCCAACACGTGCCCTGAGCCTGGCCTCAAGAGCTCGCGGCAGGTCTTGATGATGACGAAGGCCTCGTTGATGGCTTCGTTGGGCAGCGCGATGGTTGCCACGTTCTTCTGGAGGTCTCTTAACACACTGGCCTGCTTGAACATCTTCGGCATCAACTTCTTGGCGTCCTGCAAGGTGCTCTTCATCATGTCGTGGACTGGCTTCCAGTCGTCATTCATCCTCAGGAGCACGCCCAGGTCCGCGAGCCCCCCCTTGCATTTTCTCTCCTGCTGCAAGAAGAACTCCTCGATGGTCTCGAAGTCCACCTGGCAGGTGGTGTCGCAGACGGCGCACATGACGCGGAGCACCTTCAGCGAGTCCATGGCTTCGGGCGGGACATCGGGTAAGTCCTCCACGGCCTTTTCGAAGTGGTCCAGCATGGCCCCGCACAGGCGAGCCGATGCCGCCTGACCGCCCTCGTCCACCTTCAGCGTCGCAGGGACGATCTCCTTCAAGAGCACGTTCAAGAGCAGCGCGGCCCTGGATTGCATCGTACCATCGATGGTCGACATAGAGACATTCATGGGGTCGAACTCCTGGTACTCGGTGGCTATCATCTCCACATCAAGTTCGCCATCCACCATCTCCCCGTCGGCCGTCGCAGGCTTGTCGAACTTGAACGGCATCACGGTATCCACGATATCGGCGATGCAGGCATCGTCCACGTCACCCGACGAGAATGCTATAATCGACGAGTACAATCTCTTCCCCAGGAGCTTGCTCTTGATATTCGAATCGAAATCGACCTTTGCAGCCGCTAGCTTCTGCAAGTTGCACTTGAGGTCGTCGAAGGTCGTCGTCTCATTGCCAAGGTCTATCATCAGCTGCATGCAGATGTCGATGCGGTCGATGTGCTCCTCGAGGTGGTTGGCCTTCACGGCCTCGCCCTGGCCCGCCACGCGCTTGACGCAGTCCCTCGCCCAGCCCACCTGCCTCTTCAAGGGGCTGCCCGCGAACACCTTCGACGGCGTGAGGGTTTCGTGCCAGTGCTCGGGCGGCTTCAAGCGGCCCTCTCTCTCCGTCAGACCAGCGCAGGTCTCGGCGACCGAGGGCGCGGCCAACGAGCCCGACTTGGCCCTCTTCGGCGGCGGCCCTATCGTGCTCGGGCTAGCCCCTGGCGAGGGCTGAGGGGCCTGAGCCTTGGCCTCACTGTCCGCCACCCTTGCCGCCGCGCTCCTCGCTGCCTTAGGCGTTTCTGGCACCTCCTCTGGGCTGTGGCTCGGCGCTGCCGCCGCCGACGCCGCGCTAGCTGCCAGCTGCGCTGCGGCGGCGCCGCTGGATGGTTCTTCTTCACCCCCGCTCCCTGCATCGCTGGAGGCCCCATCCGAAGCAGAGTCGCCACCTGCAACGCCGTCGCGCACCATGCGGCGCAAGCCCTTGGGCCTCGCCAAGTTCTTCTTGACGAGCATTCTGATCTTATCCCTGCTGTAGGCGGTGAACTTCTTGGATTTCGGCTGGTACTTGTTCCCGAACCTCTGGCCGAACGCGCGCGCCCGATCAGCCGACATGTTCTCGAAGAGGGTGGAAGCTTGGCTCTTGTAGTAGTGCATGGCCTTCGTCATAACAGGCGTCCTCCTGACGAGCCTCCTCGTCGTTTTCACCACCAGCGTCGGGGGCTTCACCGCGTCCTGCAAGATCACCGCGCCGAAGGAGTCCTCGCCCTGTGCGTTCGTCACGCGCAACGTCATCACCTTCGCCTGGTCTGGCAAG